AGCTGCGCCCCCCCCCCCTTCCTTTTTTTGGCATCCCTGCTAGCAACGGCAAGGTTGGGGGTTCGATAGAGGATGGTCTTGTGGCAGCAGAGGGATGCTAACAGATAGCTTTCTCTGGGAATTATAGACCTCCTTGAGTACAGTCAGTAAGGACAAAGTTGCGTAAGTGTTGTCTGTTTATTGTCTTTTTTTTTTCCAGTCACCCTTTTTTGTCATCACATTCAGTTCAGAACTGCAAGCTCACCACTCAGCTAAAATATGAAATTGTTTCGCCACGGGGCTTGAACATTCAGTGGCAGTGCAGCTGTGCAGGAAACATTAGCTGTCATTCTCGTAATACCTTTGTATTTTATGAGCTCCTCTAGTTGTAATTATGTCTAGCAAACTTGTCAGTAAAACTGGTGAAGATCTACATTTGTGATTGTGTTAGAGCAGACTCAGGCGATGATATCTTTCCAGGGGAATGAAATCCCCCCCCTCCCGGAGTCTCTTAATTTGTTCCTGTTTGTTGCACCATGTCAGCTGTTGTGAGGGAGGGTCCTGGCTAACTGAAATGCCTGGCAACTGTAACCAAGGGACAGGCATTGCTGCGCTTGGGCACTGGTCTGTGTAAGTGGCTTAAAGCAGGAAGGAAAACGAGAACGAGGGATAATAAAACACGGAGCTGTAGGAGACAACGGGAGAGATGGAAGTCTTTGATTATTTTTGAATGGGGAAACATCTTCAGGGTGTGCAGGAAGAGGAGGATAATGAAAAAAGAGGGAGAACATTGGAAGGAAAGAAAGAGAGAGAGAGAGAGAGAACAGTGTGCTGGGAGGAGTTGTGTGAGAAAGAGGACCTCAGGTGCCGCCAAAAGGGGGAGGGAGGAGAGTTACAGCGAGCGAGAGCGGGAGAGAGAGGGGAAAGGAAGGAGGGAGCGAATATGATCGAGAGGCACAGTGGAAGAGAGAGCGAGACTGTGAAGGGGGAGAGGAAACTGTGAGCCACTCACAGCATCTCTGAGCACCAGCAGTGAGGTGCTGCTCTCTTTTCCTCGGCTGGTTTCTGATTTGCCACACAATTTGGAATAGATCTGTTCAAAGTCTTACTGTTCTCATCTTTTTACTTGAGTTCTTAATTTCAAAGTGCGTTTTGCACTGTGCACGCTCCAGGGAATTGCTGTCAACCTGCTTTGGCTCACAGATCACCGAGAGCTGACAAGGACAGAAGCGGTACGCAGATCTTCCAATTTTGAGGACGGACTGAGTATTTTAGAGGAGACTTTACAGAATGTGTCACAAAGAAGTTGGAGAAGAAGGAACGAGGTCTACCTCAGAAGGAAGGAAGCTGGGCATGTACAGCTAATCAGATGTAGAGGTTGGCATGCCATGTGATGTGCAAACGGTGGATTGACACCAAGAACATGTGGATTTAATACCTGTCCTGATGCGATCTGTGGAGACACCTTCACATAAGCAGCTATATACCTGTTTCGGAAAAACACAGGTCTCTCCTTTTTTACGTGACATGCTTTTATCTGAGGCACAGTGAAAGTTCATGAAAAGTAAATGGATTGGGAGCAAATAAGACCGAACCTGTCGCTGTGGCCCCCCCAGGACACAATCTTGAAATTTTGATTAGTTCCGTTTTGCCTCACTCAGACTCCCGCAAGCTATGAGCGGTGTTCTGCGCAGCAATAGCTCTGGCAACTCTCATATGCTGTTCTGTGTTTGTCTAGAGTGTCTGTGTTTTGATTCGGACTATAGAAACCCAAAGGGGGTCGAGACAGTGGCCAAGAGGACAGTATTACAGAAGCAAAACATGGTTCATGTTATTGTTTGGTGACAAACTAATATGAACAGATTTTTTGGAGACTATTACAACTCTTGAAATTCAATTTTTGTGGACTCAGGAGAAGGTATGACCCAGGAACTTTCTTCATATATATTTTGTTACCTTTATTGGTTCTTGTCTTAATCCTTCTTATATTGTCTTATCTGGTCACAGGAAACGGTTTGATCTTCATTTCCTTATCCCACAACCCCTTCTACAATCCTGCACATTTTACCCTTAAGAGGACGCTTAAGGAATAGGTCGACTTCACTGCGGGTGCTGTGGACAATATTGCCAACTGGCCTTCAGCACAGATATGCAACCCTTTTGTTTCCAGCAGCCATAGTTTTGTTTGCCGAGGAAATATCTCTCTCTCACAATTACTAAACTGCTCCTAAGCATGACTGATTTCAGAGGAGTGCTAGGCACCTTTTTTTCTTCTCCACACGGACTGTATTGATTTTTGCCAATGCTCAATTCATTGAGTTCCAGCCATGTGAAAGACCGAGGTAAAGGGGAATAGGCAGAAGATTGAGATCGAGAAAGCACGGACACGGGATCACGTTGCAGGCCATCTGCACTGCGTTTCGGACAACGGAACCTTATCCAAGTGGACAAGGTCCGGGACAATGAACCGGTCGGAGCTGATCGAACCGGTCCCCAATGTAAACAACAGCCTTAGCGGTCACTTCGGCGTGTCCCTAAACCACTCCTGCCCCCTAGGCTGGGGGCAGAACAAGGTCGTGGAAGCTTGCGTCTTAGAGACTGCGGTCATTGTGTTGCTGACGGTGCTCATCATTGCTGGAAATTTAACGGTGATCTTTGTGTTTCATTGTGCCCCGTTGTTACACCACTACACCACCAGTTACTTCATCCAGACTATGGCCTACGCGGATCTGCTGGTGGGGCTAAGTTGCCTGGTTCCCACCCTTTCCTTGCTCCATTACCCAGCTGGTGTCCAAGAGCCCCTCACCTGTCAGGTGTTCAGCTACGTCATCTGTGTTCTCAAGAGCGTTTCGATGGCTTGTTTGGCTTGCATTAGCGTGGACCGCTATCTGGCTATTACCAAGCCCCTCTCCTACAACCAGCTGGTAACACCCTGCCGCCTTCGCTGCTGCATCGTTCTCATATGGATCTACTCTTGCGTGGTGTTTCTCCCATCTTTCTTCGGCTGGGGTAAGCCGGGGTACCATGGGGATATCTTTGAATGGTGTGCCCACTCTTGGCCCACTTCTGCACTCTTCACTGGCTTTGTTGTGTGCCTGTTGTACGCCCCTGCAGCCCTGGTGGTCTGTTTCACCTACTTCCACATCTTCCGCATCTGCCAGCAGCACAACCGAGATATCAGCGAGCGACGGGCACGCTTTCCCAGCCAGGAGATGGAAACTGCCGAAGGGGGCAACCACGCAGGCCACGGGCCAGACCGGAGGTACGCCATGGTGCTCTTCCGGATCACCAGTGTTTTCTACATGCTTTGGCTCCCCTACATTTTTTATTTCCTTCTGGAAAGCTCCCATGTGCTGGACAGCCCTGCACTCTCCTTCGTGACCACCTGGTTAGCAATTAGCAACAGCTTCTGCAACTGTGTCATTTATAGCCTGTCCAACAGCGTATTCCAGCTGGGGATGCGTAGACTCTCCCAGACGCTCTGCTCCTCCTGCTCTTTCAGCTCCTGCACTCATGATGACAAGGACTTTGGAGAGCCAAAGCCACGAAAGAGAGCCAACTCCTGCTCCATCTGAAGATCTCGAAGGGTTTCTTAGATCAGTCATACGCTGCTAAGTGTTGTTGCAATGGATTTTAATGTAATTGTAACTCTTGGTCGTTAGAAGAAACTACCAACAGTGAGGATGATGAAGTTGTCTAATAGTCATGTGATCTACATTCCCTTGTAAATATTAAGATAACACCTGCCTTGGTCCTGTAAATACCACAGAATGGTCACTGGCCACAACTTGTTTGACAACCTAGAGATATGCAGTTTTTAGAGCGTTTGTGAGCAAAAAAACAAAGCCAGGGGTGGGTTCAAAGCTCTCGCTTGTGATGGCTCTTTCCAAATATAGAGCACACTTGCTATTTTTAGATACATTACCCATGTTGCTGGATTGGTTGTTTTGATGTTTGTTGAATTAGTTTTGTGTTGCAGCTGTAACTGTAAAAACAGTTGCTTTACTAAACGATTAGAGCTTAAAGATCTTAACTAGCTGGGTCTTCTCCTAGTGGTTTTAGGGGACAGTGTATCTTGAATCTTAAATAATCACAGGCAATTCACGTCAAAAGTGATGTAGCAAAGGACAAACAGCTTGATCTGTTTATTTTTTCAAAATCTTCATTCTAGATCTGATCTTTTTGTAGGAAATCTTGAAATACCACATGTGCAGAATATCAACAAATGCCTGTAATAGTTTTGGACTGTAGTTTAGATCCCCAGTGGTGTAAAGCCTTAGCTGTTTGTAATTAGACCTATTTGCCTGCAGTGACCTTTTGAGAAACATGCAACACAGCATGTTTTATTTTTTAATTCATATTTTTGCCAGATCAGCTTTAACTTAACTTGACGTTCATATTACCTTAAGCTGAGCTTTTTTCACTCACTTTAATGTATGAATGTCCAAACGATTTTTGTCTAGTCTACAAATTGAATTTTCATTCTTACTCTGTTTTATCTCTCTCAAAGAGATGTTGTTTAATTAATTAATTTTTATTTATTTTTTTTAATGAGAGAGTTTTACACAGTTGATGGGAGAATATAATTGTTTTTCAAATTAAAATGCATGTACATTTTACAAATATTTTTTAAATACCCAAAAATGACATGCATAAATTTAGTTTTTCTTTTATTCTGTTCTAGTTTATACATTCCAATTCCAGTTAATTCATCCCAATTATTTTCCAAAGGTTTACTGATTTTCTGCACAGTTGTGTGACTGTCACAATATACTACTTGTCATATTTGTTTCTACAATTAGTATTTTTATGTTATTATGCATCAGCCATTATTTTTGTAACGATACAGAGAGTACAATATATGGCTGCTTCTTTTTGAGTTATAATACTTGGGTATTGTTTGGGGCAGCGTTAAACTCATTGCTTGAGTCTAGTATTGGTGGTTTAGTAAGAAACTGCTTTTTGTTGAAGATTTTTTTTGTGCATATTTCAGTTTGTTTATGCCTGTAAACTTTATTTGCTGATGGATGTTACAGCCCTGTACATGCTGAACTTCTCAGCTCTAAAAAAAAAAAATCACAATACAGCAACTAGGCTAGTTGATGTGCATTAGATAATGAAGAAAAGAAAAAGATAATAAGAATAGACCCTCTTTCAAATTAAATGGTGAGGCTGTTCTTTTTTTAATTCTTAATAACAACTTAAAGAGTAAATTGACTATTTATTTATTTATTTATTTTTCAATGGATATGAAACTGATAAAATAGCAGTATATTCCTGTATTCATTTTGCGGATGAACCTATAATGTCTCTGTCCATTTTTTTTTTCTTGATTATGAGAATAAAAGAGAATAAAAATACAATATATTTTTTTTTTTAGTTCAGAGATTTTTGTTTGTTTTTGTGAGACTCTTTGGTTTTGCTGTCGCTGCCAGTACAATAAACGTGAACCGTAAACACTGGTTTATAATGAGTGCATCTTTTGGATGTAGTTAATCTGGATTTCACTTAAATGAATTGAAGTTTTATCACTCCTCATTCTCCTTCTAATGCTAATGCGTAGCTTTCTCGGTTTCAGCATGTGATCCTGATTCCTGCTCCATCTCAGTGTACGTCAACTGACTGTGTAATGTTTCCTGATGGGTCCATAGAGTCTGGCCAGAGTTTAAGTTGCTCATGTCCTCTAAGGCTTCAGGGCAAACCAATCCTAGCACAGCGGCCCCGGACTGCACACACAGCAGGGCTGGCACTCGACGGCTGCCTCTAAAAAGGTTACAACTCCCTTCAGAAGGGAAATTATAAATGTGCAGTTAGAGCGAGGGGGAAAATGAAGTGACCTTTTTGAAATCTAATGAGCACATAAAATGTTTCCATGATCATGGGAGGCTTTGGACCTTGGCACCAGCATGAATAAAACATGAGTGCTCTCAGCGGTCACTAACAGTACGTCTCATTCCGCTTGCTTACACTTGTTATGTGACCTTAAAATGCGTACAACATCCTTCCTGTATCTTTATCATTACTCAACCCAAATACCTTTTCCTCTTTGATTTGATGTGACAATTTTATATCTGGCTGAGGTCTCATTGAAAAGCAGTGTCAGTCTTACTCTGGGAGATTTGAGAGCCTAGCGGATCTTAATGGCTGTGTGGAACGATGTTTGGCCGGCACAGCTGCTCCAGGGCACTGCCCTTTGCCAACATTGAAGGTAATGCATGCCTCGTCACAGACGCTGACAAAAGAGGGCTTGTTTTTTGGCAAATGTATTAGTACGGGTTGTTTCAGGCCGTTTTGTAGCTCTATTTTTTACCTCACAAAATAGCAGACTGTTGAAAGTTAATAATTGGCATTTGTGCACTGTCACTCAAGTTATTTGTGATTTGAAATGATCTTGAATAACCAATGTAATGGCCAATATTATAAGTCATTTTTAGTCTATATTTTATTTATAATTGATGCATAAGCTCTCAATGTGAGTAGTTTCTGAATTTGCTTCATTTGGGTTTATTTCAGTTACATGTTCAGTTTCTTTATGCACAAAATAAATTGTCTCATATATTATAAATTAAACAGGGAACCTTCTAACTTGGTACATTATGAAAACATTTATTTTAAGAATTAGTAACAGACCCCAAACTGGGCCCAAACAATACATTTTGTTTGTGAGTTCAGTATTTTTACAATAATTAAGTGGACCAGCTCAAAATCAGACTACACTGGTTGAGCTGTATGTTTTTGATTCACTCACTCTTCACAAAGACAATATCATAAGAGTCATATGAATCAATTGGACTACACTGCCTATGCTCAATGTTTTTGCGTGCAGCCTGCCACAGTTTGTGTCAGTGTTTTTTTTATATACACTTTTCTATCTCATTTTGTCCAAAATGAGTCTGTTAATTTTAAGAATTAACAACAGGGCCCAAACTGTGCCCAAATTATACATTTTTAGTTTGAGTTTTTATGATTCATGAAGTGGACCAGCTCAAAAGAGTCATTTGTGTCGGCGCCGATAGCCTCGTGGGCAGCACATTTACGTTTACATTTACGTTGTAATTTTGCTGACGCTTTTATCCAAAGCGACTTACAATTGGGGAAAACATAAAGCGATTCTTCTTAAAGAGGCAAACAGACACAGGAAGTGTTCGTAAGACCAAGTTTCAGGCATTGTTCAAATAAGTACAAGCTAGAAAGGGAAAGAATAAATAAATAGAAAGACAAAGTTTTTTTGTTTGTTTAATTTAGGATGAAGTCAAGTATTGTTGAAAGAGATGAGTTTTCAGCTGTCGCTTGAAAATTGTCAGGGATTCAGCATTCCGGATAGGGGTGGGAAGATCATTCCACCAGCCAGGAATGGTGAACGAGAATCGAAATGCAGCGCGTCGAAATGTAGCACCGTTGCGATTTGGGCATCCCGTGTTCAAGTTCCGTCTCACAGACCTTTCCCGATTCCATCCCTCCTCTCTCTCTCCCACTTCGCTTCCTGTCTAACTACGGTCTTATCAAATAAAGGCCAAAAAAAAAAAGAAAAGTCATTTGTTTGTGAATCAGACTACAATGGTTGAGCCGTATGTTTTTGATTCACTAATGCTTCAGAAAGAATCAGTTCATAGGGGCATTTGAGTTAGACTACACTACTCATGCTCAATGTTGTTGCATGCAGCCTGTGAGAAAGACACCGTTCTTGGCAGTATTTTGTTATACACAACTTTTTGTCTTATATTCAATTAAAGTCCAATTGCTGTTGGACTAGATTCAAAAGCCAGCACTGCCATTGAGTAAAAGATGGAATTTAAGAATCAATATGGTGATCATTCAAATGAGGGATTGCGATTAATTGAATCATAATATTTTACGCAGTCCTAGAATTGATGTGTAGCTTTATACCGATATAATATGTATACATTATTGCAATGAGACAGGACCGAAGATTTTTTTGGTGTTTTGTGGCTAGGGATGGGTATCGTTTACATTTCATCGATACCGATACCGGTACTTATCGATACTGTTATCGATACTATTTGGTGCAAAAAGATATGAAGTGAAAAGTTGTTGAAAATTTCAAGTTATTTTATTACTGCTGAACTTTAGCAACTGTATTAAAGTTCTTAAGTCAAGAGCAGTGAGTTATTTTTCTCTTTGTGTTTTATTTGATTAAAATTAAAGGAATAGTTCACCCAAAAATTTAAATTGTGTAATCATTTACTCGCTCTCAAGTTGTTTTAAACCTGAATGAGTTTCTTTCTTCTGTTGAACATAAAAAGTTATTTTGAAGAATGTGGGAAACTAAACAGTTGCTGTTCCCCAGTGACTTTCATATTTTTTTCATGCTATTAAAGTCAGTGGGGACCAGCAACTGTTTGGTTACCCACATTCTTCAAAATATCTTCTTTTGAGTTCAGCACAAGACTAAATAAAAATTAATACATGTTTGGTACAACATGACTGAGTAAATAATGACAGAATTAAAATTTTTAACTTTGTTTTAGTAAGCCTTTTTCTGCAAGCGTCTGAGAAAATGTGCGCGTCAGATTTCGCTCCCTTGATGACGTGGCAAAAGGATGTCATTATAATTTTACCTCCCCTTCATCTGTAAGTTTACACCCACAGTGCCATCATTTGATTTCGCAAGTGACAACGGCGTACAGTTCTAATGCCATGGCAAAAGTTTGAGCAAAACATGCTAACTGTTACTTGGTTAACTCATGTGTGTTTTTAACGTAAACTTGTGTGTGAATGAGAACTTTTTTACTCACATTAGTACTCACATGCTGTGACAGCCGCTTTCTGTCCGTGTCCTTCGGATGCGTGCCCTCAGAAAAACGTATATCAGACGTTTAAACTCATATGGTTTAAAGCGCATGATTTCAGCGTGATAAACATGATAATAAGAACCAAAACAGATGTTTTTAGCAGGTCCGAGCTGTAATGGCGCAGCTCTATTCTGGAAAAGGGGGCGGGGAGCAGCAGCTCATTTGCATTTAAAGAGACAGGGCCGAAAAACAGCGTGTTTCTGCTTCCACTCAAAATAGGCATTTTCAAAATGATATTATAAATGATCTGTGGAGTATTTTGAGCTGAAACTTCACAGACACATTCTG